TACCAATTTCAGTGTAAAAGTTGGTTCATAACATTTTCCCACAGTAACCAAGTAATAAAGAGCAAGTTTTTATTAAGTGTCATTATGATCTCACAAATTTAAGCGTATTTGATACTGTTTTCAATCCATTGCAATTATTATGCTAATTGATGCTCAGATTGTCCCATCTTTGGCCAATGGAAGCCTCCCCACATTAGCTTCAGGGTCCCTTTGATTTACCCCAATAGTCTTAAATTGATAACTTCCTTGCTTTCTGGTATGACAAGAGGTTCTTGAATCTTCTTGTATATTTTCTGTCCCAGACCTAGACAGAGCCAACTCTCCAAGGAGCACTGATTCCAGATGATATCTGGATATCACATTGTGGGCGCTGAGAGTGTTCATTGCTCTTGGGTTGGGCATTGTTTCTAGGCCTTTTCAGGACAGAGCTAGGAAATAGTTTTTGTTTTGTTTTGTGGTGGAAATGTACATAACAAAACATATGCCCTGGTTTTTTAAATTAAAATATGTTTTAAGTTCTTACTTGATGCTTTAAATTCATGTACAGGACTATTAGGTTTTTATGCTAATTCAGTCTTACGTATGTATCTCCTTTCTCCCATGTCAAGGATGCCACTTCTCAACAATGCCAGGAAATGATAGAATTAGAACATTCCATAATTACTAATTTTCTTTACCCCACAATAAATCCCAATATTCTCACCACAACAGTACACCAATATAATTACTCAACTTAAGATATATTTTTGGAATTCCTTTGTTGTTCTTAAGGTATATCCCACTAGGGATGTGCAGTCAAATTACTGGATTTTAAAATCACTTGAATAGTTTCTTTCTGGGTGATTATGCCACCAACTAGATATACCTTTAGATTCATTTGTTTGGGGGATTACTTTTTAAATTTAAATTTTATTTACATGGTTTTAAAGGCAAATCTATAAAGCAAGGTATATTAAAAGAATTCTAGCTTCTATCGTTGTCCCTTTAATGGTATTCCTTCCGCTTCTCTTCCTTTCTCACCATAGTTTTTTGAATTATATGATTTATCCTTTCATTGTTTTCTTTTTTAATACAAGATGTGTATGTATGTATATGCCTTTCCTCCTTTTTATATAAATTGTAGCATGCGATGCACTCCATGTCCAAGAGCTCATCCCGTAATTGCACTTATAGATTCCTCATCTACTTTTATTGCTGCCTACTGCTTCATCGTGTAGACGTACTGTGGTTTATTCAGCCAGATGTTTGCATGGTTTCCAGTCGATGGCCATTACAGATGGTGCTGCAGTGACTACCTTGTACATACATCTTTTTGCCAGCCTATCTTTGGGATAGATTCCTAGAAGTGGGATTGCTTATCAAAGGGTAAAATGCTTATGGAAGTTTGCTAGATACTACCTGTCTTAGTTACCTGGTGCTGCTGTAACAGAAATACCACAGGTGGATGGCTTTAATAAATTTATTCTCTCACAGTCTAGTAGGCTAGAAGTCTGAATTCAGGGTGCCAGCTCCAGGGGAAGGCTTTGTGTCAGCTCTGGGGGAAGATCCTTGTCATCAGTCTTCCCCTGGTCTGGGAGCTTCTCAGCATAGGGACCCCGGGCCTAAAGGATGTGCTCTGTTCCTGGCAGTACTTTCTTGGTGGTATGAGGTCCCCCTGTCTCTCTGCTCACTTCTCTCTTTTATATCTCAGAAGAGATTGACTCAAAATACAGCCTAATCTTGTAGATTGAGTCCTGCCTCATTGTATATGTATATAACTGCCTCTAATCCTGCTTCATTAACATCATAGAGGTAGGATTTACAACACATAGGAAAATCATATCAGATGACAAAATGATGGACAATTACACAATCCTGGGAATCATGGCCTAGCTAAGTTGACACACATTTTTGGGGGACACAATTCAATCCATAATATTACTAAATTTCCTTCCATAGTGGTTATGCCATTTTACATTCCCACCAGCAATATATGAGAGGGCCTGTTTCTCCAAAGATGCGAACAACATGTGTCGTCAGACTTTTGGATTTTTGCCAGTCCAATAGGTGAGAAATGGTATCTCTGTGTAATTTTAATCTGGATTTCTCTTATGACAGATGAGGTTGGAAGCTTTTTAGAAATGCAGTCATCCCGGTCCTACGGATGGAGCCCAGGCATTTTATTGCTAAGAAGCTGAGCATGTGCATCTCTGGCACAAGCAGGGCCAAGAAGCACTAATGTGTAGTGTTTCAAAACACCTAGCACAGAGCCTGGTAGGGGATAAACCTCCAGTCATTGTGTGTAGTATCACAAGTGAGGCTGAGCATTTGGGCAGAAGTACAGGGTCATGAATATGATCACAGACGTTGGAGTTGGACAAACCTGGTTGGAATCCCAGCTCCACCACTTGCCTGTCCTTGACCTTGTGAAATTACTTAAATTCTGAACTTCTGTTTGCTCATTTGTAAAATGAGGGTAATAATAGTACTTCCCTTTACAGGGTTTTGATGCAACATCACAATCGTCAAGTGCTTGGCTTGACACAGTGTCTGATACAGAGTAAGGCTAAAGAAATGATGGTTTCATTATTATTATTTGAATTAATGTAGGAATTATTATGTCTTTGGTGGTTATGGATTTGAATCATTATGCCCTGTAAGATCATTAACCTTTCCATTATGTAAGACTTAATGTAAGATGTAAGAAAGAAGGCGATCTTTTATGGATTGGCAAATGGTTTTGCTGTGGAGCTGAATGCCAAACGTAGGATTCTGAGGAGAGAAGAGAGCAGAGAAAGAAGGTGAGGTACAGAGGGGACCTGAAACCACCCCCATGAGGACTGGTGCCCCAGAAGGCAGAGGGAGAAGTCACTTCTGAGCTGGGTGTGTCCTCATTGCATGTGGCTTTCACCATTGCCATAGTGCATGACAGGAAGGTGTGTTTGGGAACTCAGTGAAGCGTGACTCATAGTGAGCTGCTCAGCAGTGGGTGAAGGTTGTCTTTCTCCCAGTTCAGCCCCCGTCTGCCCTTCCAACCTTGGGTCTAAAGAAAATATTTGTTTAGTGGCAGCATGACCTTGGTATACTATGCAGCTGTTTCAGCTCTTTGCAGCCTGAGTTCCCATGTCAGTTGTTCATGTCTCCCCTGGCCTGACGCCTCATTGCCTTTGAGCAAAGCAAACTGATGCTCAAGCAAGACACTTCAACCCTTAAGTATGTCTCCCACCTCCCTGGGATTGGTGTGGGGAGGGAGGGGTTCCCCCACTAGCCAAGATGGACTTTCTCTGTTTCCTTCTTATTCATACATGCTAAAGGGTTAGCTTTTCTTTTTTTTTAAATTAATCTTTTTTAAAAACTCAATTTTTAATATTGATGTTCACCTGTACCACTGTTTGTTTTGTTTTGCTTTTTTGTTTCACTTATTTCTGCCTTTGTAATTATCCCTGTATTCTCATTTCTTTGAGAAATTTTTTTGATTCTTTTTCTTTAGATTTTTGCATGGAAAATTAGGTTCATTTAATTCCATTTTTCTTATTTTCTAATAAATGCATTTATTAGTGCTTTCTTTATCTTTCAGTTCAAAATATTTTATAATTCCCATTTGAATTTCTCTTCAGCCATCAATAACTTTGAAGTTTGTTTTATAAATTTTCAACAGAATGGATTTTTTTTTTTTTTTGCTTTATTTTGCATTACTGATTTCTAATTTCATTGCATTTGTTATCAGCAAATGTGACTTGTAGAATATTATATTTGGGGGAACTTGTGGGAACCTGTTTGAAGGCCTAAATCACAATCAGTTTTTACCAGTGTTTCACATCTGTTTTTAAAAAAACAAAGGTGGGTATTCTGCTGGGTGCTGAGTTCTTAAAATAGCAACTGGCTCAAGATAGCAGTGCTTTTCAGATCCTCTGCATCTTCACTGCCTGGCAGATATCATCCTTGAAGCAGCAGCACTCTGCCAGGTCCAAGACACAAAAATGTCCACGTAGGGCTTTTTTGTCTAGTGTGGCTCACAAAACATACCCAGGCCAAGGGAGACGAGGGCTCTTCCATCTTTGCATCTTTGCTGGAGCTTGAATTCTTTTAGTCACAGTTTATTTACCTGTGAAGTCTTCGGGTGGTGCAAACCAGCTGCTAACCAAAAAGTTGGAGGTTCGAGTCTATTCAGAGACGACTCGGAAGAAAAGCCTGGTGATCTGCTTCCAAAAAAATCAGCCTATGGAGCACAGTTCTTCTCTCCACCATGAGTCCGAATTGACCCCACTGCAACTGATGGCTTAATTAACCTGTACAACCTAGACTCTGGTTTCAAGTTGCTGATTATCTTGGCTGTTGCAATCAGCGATATTTGTGCTGTGCATTAATTTAAAAGTGATGATAAACATCCTTACAAAGAGCAAAAGGCAGGGCCTGACTGTGGCCTGATGTCAGGCATTATTTTAGGTCATTTGCGTTTGGTCACTGTGGTTGCATGGGTATTAAATAACTTCTCTGAGCCTTGTTTGTTTCTTCATGAGTTTTTTGGATATAATACTTCCCACTCTTCATGTTGACCATAGAGGGCTGTTGAGTCTAAGCAGAGACAGTAGGCATACTAGTACTTTGTAAACTGTAAACAAAAAAAAAAAAGTTGCCAGTCAAGTTGACTGACTTGTGGTGAACCCATTTGTGTCAGAATATAACTGTGCTCTTCAGGGTTTTCAATGGCTGACTTTTCAGAAGTAGATCACCGGGCCTTTCTTCTGAGGAGTCTCTGGGTGGACTTGAACCTCCAACCTTTCGGTTAACCATTTGCATCACCTAGGGACTCCATAAACTGAAATCCTCCAATATAAAAGGTGCAGGTTGAGGGCACCTGCCATCCCTAGAACATGGTTGTGAAGAAGTAGCAAGCAGAAGTGGTCTCAGTGCATGCTAACCCCCTTTATCCTGTGGAAAGTGTCTGCACTGGATGAGGTTGGATGAAATGTTTGGAGCCCCCTGAAATCCTCTGTTGCCGTTCTCTACCTTTCTCTCAGCACGGAATAGGTAACCTGCAGCCATGACAACTCACGTCACCTTAGAAGATGCCCTGTCCAACGTGGACCTGCTCGAAGAGCTGCCCCTCCCTGACCAGCAGCCATGCATCGAGCCTCCGCCCTCCTCCATCATGTACCAGGTAAATTCTCCCAGCCCTGCCTGGAAATAGCACATGGCCTCAGGAACTCTGGGGATCCTCTAAGAGGGTTTGCCCTGAAGACAGAGGGAAGGGGGAGGTCTGCTTCCAGAATGTGAAAGGTCAAGAGCTGATGGAGTCCCTCGAGTCCTCCTTGGAGCTGAGTGTAAGGAATGGATTAGCTAGTAAATGTTCACCAGGACTATTTCCCTTCCCCAGGGAAGGCTTGTTGATCTGCTCTGACCCCAAATACCTTCCTGGCTGTTCTTGCCACTGCACCAACCAAGCTTTTGGCAGCTCTGACCTCATGAATTAAATATTGCAATTTAGAAATCCCCAGAGAATGCCTGAGTAATTACTTCTTCATGTGTGTGAAAAGAACACTGTAACTTCTCACAGCAGCTAATGGCTCAGGGAGGCTGGTCACAGTTGTTTGCTTTTGCGTAAGAGAGCTCGTGACAGAGGATGACTGGTTTGTTCAGACGGTGATCCCATCAGGGCATGGAGGGGAAGGGCACCAGCGGGGCTGGAGTCAGCCTTATACAGAGCCCCTTGTTGGGGTGTGCGAGGAGAGTATGCCACGTTAATAAAGAATACATTAATTTGACATTTTTGGCTGTCTTTGACCTTTTGAAAGTTCTTGGACTACTAAATGAAACTAAATATAATACATATTTTTAGTTTTGTTTAGTGATTAAATGTATTTATTAAGCACGTGACTGAAGCCTCAGCTACTAACATCAGTTAAATCTTTAATTAATGCTGTCTTATTACAAGCAATACAGAAAAGTCTAACTGAAAAAGTTCCCTGTAACTATGCCAATATGTATACACTTTGTATTATTGTTTTTACCAAAAGGGAATCATACTATATATATCCGTCTATGACTTGGCTATTTTTAACTTAAAACGTATTAGGAATATTTTTCCATGACGATACTACTAATAATGATACTGTTACCACATTATTTTTAACCACCACATAGTACTTAGAAGTCCATTGTATGGATATACTTTCATTTATTTAGCCATTCTCTAATGATGGACATTTGGATTGTTTCTAGTTTTTCCTAACACAAAAATTACTGCAGTGATTATCCTTGTATTTATGTATCTGCACCCTCAGGTGAGTATTTCTGGAACTACTGGATCAAAACAGTGCACCTTTTAACTTTTACCAGCTCTTTGGGCTTGCGTGGTTTAAGCATTTATTGCTGAGGCACAACCGAGCGAACCTGATAAACTGCTGATGGGAACAGATGTAGGCCTGTCTTCTACCTGCTCCTGCCCAGTGTTATTCAGAGTGGGGTTCTGGGGTGAGTTGGGAAGGGTGGGAGGGTGATAATGGTGATAGATTTCTACCAAGAGCAGTGGCATTTGTTGGCAGCAGCTTGTTCCCTGAACACCCAGCCGCCTTCGACCTGTTTTCCAACAACGAAATCCTCCTCTGCTCTGATTCCCACAGGCCAACTTTGACACGAACTTTGAGGACAGGAATGCATTTGTCACAGGCATTGCAAGGTACATTGAGCAGGCTACGGTCCACTCTAGCATGGTAAGTCTCTGCAACGCACGAGTGCAGACACACTCCCTGCCCGGGCTGGAGGGGCCCCGGGCAGCCTTCGAACACAAAGGACAGACACTCAGCTATTCCAAACCCCCTCCCTCAGGCAGACTCATCACCTTAAGTCCCTTCTCATGCCCGGCTCCGTTTACTCTCACACTCAGCCTATACTGTTCCCCTTTCTCTTCCAGCTTTGCAAATCTGACTCACCTTTAATGCCCTATTATTCTGAAGCCAGCATTGATTTCTCACTTCTCTTAGTTTCTGTAGCTTTTTGGATTAACGTGTGATTAAATGTTGCCTTGTCTTATACTTTATAGATTTCTGGGTGTGGGTTATTTTTTCTTGAGCAAAGCAAGTTTCCTCAAAAACCAGGACAGTGCCTTTGGAATAACACAGGTATTGACTCTAGGAAGCTGGTAGCCTACTTCATTCCTAAGTGGGGCCAGTTATTATTTGCTTTTGTAGTTCAAGTGTCTGACCCATCTGCAAAGGATCATTCCCTTGCCTCTTGGGCTTTCATTGATTTTATTCTCATGCAGCACTGAAATTGGAAGAATTCCAGATTCCTTTCTTGAAGAGTATATAATTCTTATTGCCTCTGCCTGTGGTTCAGTGTTTTTTTCCATGTATCAGTTGTATTCTAAAACCTTATCTTAACATACCCTACTCATTCATTCAGTGAATATTGTGCACCTGGACTGTGCTAAATGCTAGAGAGGTGTATACGGACAAATATGGCCCAGTTTTGATTCTCACAGAGTCAAGTGGGAAATAGACAAGTTTCATTTATTGAACGCTTTTTCTGTGCAGATATTTTAAATGCATTTATATCATTTCATTCACGTATCAGCCCTGTGTGATAGGTGTTATTACAATACCCATTTTACAGATAGGGAAAACTGACACCCAGAAAAGTTAAGTAACTTGCTCAGGGTCCTTTTGCTGACAAGTGACAGATCTAAATCTAGGTCTGTCCAGACTGCAAAACCTTTGCTCTAGGCTATTCTTTGCTGATAAAAATGCTCAAAGTTAAACACCATGGTAAAATTTCAAAGTTCTGATGTTTTTGAAGGGTACTTGAGAGGGTCAGAGAAAGCTTATTGAAGAAAGTGGCTTTTGAGCAGGGCCATATAAGAGGGTAATGATACCTTTGTGTATATGGTACTTTAAAATGTATGAAGTATTCTTGTACATCATATCACTGGAGCCTCATAACAACCCTGTGACTTGCAAAGGGATCATTATGCCTATTTTAGGGGTGAGAAAACTGAGGCCTAGAGAAGTTAATAAGCAAGTTGTCCATGATCTCACACTAGTAAATCACAGCATTAGACCTGGAATGCAGAGCCTTCACTTCCCAGTCTTCATATCTTTCCGCTGTACTCTGCTGTCTCACGTAGTTAGAATTTTATAAGTCAGGGAGGGCATTCCAGGAGGAGGAACTAGCATGAACAAAGGCACGGAGGCAAGGATTTTCAGGGACCATCTGGGTTTGGACTCTAAAGAACATATAGGGAAGTTGTCTGTGGTATTTATGGAAAATTACATAAGGGTCAGGCGGCTGGGTGATGCAAATGGTTAAGCACTTGACTACTAGCCGAAAAGTTGGGAGTTCTAACCCGCGCAGAGGCACCTTGGAAGACAGGCCTGGAGATCTTCTGAAAGGTCACAGCCTTGAAAACCCTATGGAGTGCAGTTCTCCTCTGTACACAAGGAATCTCCATGAGTTGGTGTCCTAGTTATCTAGTGCTGTTATAGCAGAGATAACCACAGTGGGTGGCTTTAACAAACAGAAATTTATTTTCTTACAGTTTAGGAAGCTAGAAATCCAAATCAGGGTGCCGGTTGTAAGGGCAGGCTTTCTCTCTCTCAACTCTGGGGAAAAGTCCTTATCTGTTTTTAGCTTCTGTTCCTTGGTTCCTTGGAGATCTCATGCAGCGTGGCATCTGTCTTTCCCCATCTGTGCTTTTTTGCTGCTTGCTTGATCAGCTCTTTTATATCTCAAAAGAGATTGATTTAAGACACACCCTATGCTAATACTGCCTCATTAACATAACAAAGAAAACCCTATTCCCAAATGGGATTATAACCACAGGAATAATAGGATTTATAGCACATATTTTTGGGGGATACAGTTCAGTCCATAACAGTTAGAGTCAACTCAGCGGCAACTAATAGCAACAATAACATAAGGGTCAGTGCATGGACATTAAAAAACATTAAAAGCATCAGAAATTTTTATCCATGAGGTGAACATGAATATTATAATGCTTTGGAAATAAGTTTCATTTGTTATGTGTAGAATAAGTTGTAAGGAGGAGTGAGTGAATCAATTAAGAGATAATGTAAGTTATCTACACTGTAGGCATGAAGGCCTGAATGAGGGCAGTGATGGCATTGAGGGATGGCAAAGAGGATATGGATAGGAGAGTTGCTGGAGGTCAGCTCCACCTGGCTTAACAATTAGCTGGGCCCTGGGGCAGAGGAAGCAGGGGCCACACTGACCGAGGTTTCCCTTGCGTGCCTGGAGGAATGAAGAAGCCATTACCCAGATACACTAGGTCCAGTATGCCAATAGGGAAGTGGGGAGGAGAGCCTAGCTAGTATGGAGAAGCATTGTATTAATTTCCTATTGCTGCTGTACCAAATTACCACAAATTTAGTGGCTTAAAATAACAGAAATTTACTATCTTTCTATAGATCAGACATCTGACACAGATCTCACTGAGTTAAAATCAAGGTGTTTGCAGGAATGTGTTCCTTCTGGAGGCTCTAGGGAAAAATCTGTTTCCTTTTTTTTTTTTTAAATAATATTTTATGGTGTTTTTGCTGAAAGTTCACACAGCAAATTAGGTTCCCTCTGAATAATTTGTATAAAATTTTGGTTCCCCTAAATTAGGTTCCCATTTGATAATTTGTATAAAAAGTTGCTTCCCCTAAATTAGGTTCCCTTTTAATAATTTGCATAAAAAATTGATTCCCCTAAATTAGGTTCCCCTTTAACAATCTGTATAAATTTTTTTTAAAGGGGAGCCTAATTCACTGTGTAAACATTTTTTATACAAATTGTTCTGTGCCATTGTTTACAGTTTTTACTGTGTGTCAGCATTCTCGTTATTTCCATTCTGTTTGTTGTATTTCCATTGATCTAGCTTCTGTACCCCTCCTTGCCTTCTCACCTTTGCTTTTGGGTAAATGTTGACTGTGTAGTCTCTTATGGTTAATTGTGTAAGGGAGCACATTACTTACAGGTGATACTGTTATTACATAAGACAATCTATTATTTGGCTGAAGGGTGACGCACAGAAGTAGCTTCAATTCTGTGTTCAAAGGTTAGCTTAGAGCGGTAGTCTGGGGGCTTCCTCAGTCTCTGTCGGTCCAGTAGGTCTGGCCTTTTTTAGGAATTTGAGTTTTGTTCTACGTTTTTTTCCAATTCTATCTGGAACTTTGTATCGTGTCCCTAGTCAGAACCATCAGAATTGGTAGTCAGGCACCATCTAGTTCTTCTGGTCTTAGGTTTAAAGAGGTTGTAGCTCTTGTAAGCTATTCGTTCGTGGATTGGTTTCTTCTTTGATCCTTTGATTTCCATCATTCTCTTTTGCTCCATACAAGTAGAGACCAATAGTTGTGTCTTAGATGGCTGCTTGCAAGCTTTTAACACCCCAGACGCTACTCACTAAACTCATATATAGAACATTATCTTTGTAAACTATATTATGCTAATTGACTAAGTTGTTCCCTGAAACTATGGTCCTAAGGCCCCTGAACCAGTAAACCAATCCCACGAGTAGTTCGGATATGTTTTTAAGAAGTCTCCGTGACCGTGCCCCCTTGTTTCCTTGCTTTTTCCGATTCTAGAAGCCACCAACATTCCATGGCTCATGGCCCCCTTCCTCCTCCTTCAACGTCAGCAATGTTGCATCTCACTAGCTTTGCTTCCATTGTCATATCTCTTCTGACCACAGCCAGGAAAGATTCTGTGCTTTTAAGGATACTGTGATTAGCTTGGGCCCACCTGGTTAATCCAGAATAATGTCTCCATCTGAAGGTTCTTAACTTGGTCACATCTGCCAAGTTCCTTTTACTATGTAAGGTAACGTAGACATTGATTCCAGGGGTTAGGATATGGACATCTTTGGGGCCATTATTCTGCCTTCTTGTTTACTGCTCTATTCCCAGCACACCAGTGCCTGGTACCCAGTAAGTGGTCAGTCAGTCAAACATTAGTTGAATAAAAGAGTTAGTCACTCCTGCTGGTGGATAGTTTGATGCTAAGAAGTAGACACGTGTTTCCTACGTTGCTGTCACTTCCTTTTTTTGACATGTGTTCTGGAGTAGATGACAGCAGGAGACCCACTGGCTTGATCTTGGTTCCCCCTCGTCTCACGGAAAACAGGTTGCTGATTTAAAAAGTGTTCTCAGTTAAGAATTGAAACTGACTTGTCACCAACATTTGCTGTTGAAAACAGAACCATAGTAAGTAATAAACTCCAAATTAAATTTGATCTTGTACTAGCAAGACATTATGAAATAGATACGATATGTGGATGAAAATATAAATTGGTAAAGGTTTTTTGTATAGATAACAAACATTTACAAAGAGAAGGTCCAGTAATACGTTTTTTAACTGTATTTTTGGAAATATAATTCACATAACAAAATCCACCATTTTAAAGTGTATAATTCCGTGTAATCACAGTGTTGTGCAGCCATCACCACTAATTTCCATCACCCTGAAAGAAACCCCGGTCTGTTAGCAGTCACTCCCAATCCCCCCGCCACTTTTCCTGTTGTTGTTAGGTGCCCTCAAGTCGATTCCAAATCATAGTGACCACATAGGACAGAGTAGAACTGCCCTAGGCTGAAATCTTTACAGGAGTAGAACTCTGGTTCTTTTCTCATGGGTTTGAACCACCAGCCTTTTGATTAGCAGCCCAGTACTTAACCACTGTGCCACCAGGCCCCCTCACCCCTCATTCCTAGGCAAC